CTTTCACTCACAGAAGCAAAAAGCATATCTCCAGCTGCTCCCACCTAGTGATCCACTCCCATTGTGCTGAAATAATTCTTGAAGTCAGTATAGCTGGGGATTAAACAAATGATATGACCTCTTCAAAAATCACTGTCAAGATCCTTGAAGAGGAGATGAAATCAGGACTTTAAAACTTTTCTGCTTGTTATTTGAGTCATGCATTCCTGACTATCCCCTGAACTGCTGTTCATGGGGAAATTCAAGTTGGCAGCAATGGGGAAGATCTTTAAAGGTGAATGTGATCAACCACTGAAAATTTTACTAGGCTGTTTTATGGACTCTCCATCACTGACTACTTCAGAGTCATGATGAGATGGTTTCTCATTTGTTGCAAAAAGAGCAACAGCTTAAAAAAAAGTCAAACCCAAAACAAAACCTGAATAATGTATTTTTAAAAAGTTATTCCCAGTTTTGATGCATTTCTCCTGGGTATCTCTGCCTCAACCCACGCAGGAGATGATTCCAGTAGTGTGACTGATGTGCAGCCAATCCTGCCTGTCCTCTTAGGTTACGACAGAAGCTGTACCTTGGTGCCTCTTACAAACTGACAAAACATTTTTATTTTACACCCAGTACTGCTACCTCACCTAAACAAGTAAGGTGAGATTATGGGGTTTGGCTTTGTGAGTGAAAGTGAAAATTAATTTTATTGAAGCCAAAGATGGTGATTTTTTAAGGAGATGTAGTGGCTGACACAGCTAAGAAAAGCAACAACTTTAGCAACAACTTTTTGAGTGTACAAGCCCTTTCTTTTCCTGTTACGACTTCATCTAATAAAAAATATTATATCTCTGTCCAGCTCATGTCCCATCATTGTGACTACCTGCACCTTTTTGAGAAAAAGTCAATAGAATACATCTGAACATACCTTTGAGTATTGTAACTGGGAGCTGAATCTTCTCTTTTGGCATAAGGTGATTTCTTCCTCCAGTTTCTGAGAGACATAGCAGTGGAAGAACGGGAAAAAGATGCTTTTCTTCTGACTACTTCCCAACATACTGATCTGATTCTCTTTCCTATTAATCATAGCCTCTATGTCTATTACAAAAAACTATCTTCCAGTGATTACATGCAGTATTTTTTGCATCTGCCACTGACAGAACAACTTAAAATGGCATATGACAGAGTGCATGACAAAAGAAATCTGAGAGAATTCCTCCATCACTGAAGAGTCAGCCAGGACACCGAACATGGTCATGATCAAAATTTTCACAGTCACGAACTGTGAATGCAATAATCCGAGAAATGATTTGCAAACAACCTCAATCCTGATATAAGGCTGAATGAACCCTGCTTGTTTTTTTCTTTGCAGAGGAGTTGAGACATGACAATAATAGAGTCTGCTTTGAAGATGAAATAATGCGTGATTAGTTAACATCATGGAAAAAAGAGGGATTTGTACGTATTTTAAAATACCAGAATGTGGTAATATCACAAACAGAAATGACCCTTTCTAAGAAGTTTCAAGTGAATGCTAGAGCACATTGTTTAGGGAGTTTTAATCACTGCACATATTAGAAATAAAATCACTTATTCCCAAAAACTCACATTGAGTTTGATTTGCTGTGTGGTTTGCTGTTCGCTTTTATATTGAAAACACGTTTCTTAAATGGGTTCATTTATCATTCTTGCTTCTACAGAAAAGGCTGGTATACCAGAAAAACCCTCATGTCATAGCTATAGTCCTCACAGTTAATCCTTACTGTAGTCCATCCAGAATATGTAGCATGACAGTATTAAATATGATGCTTTCATAAATTCTCATTAGGTCACATACAGACAAGAAAATACTTGGAAAAAATGCAACTTCATGGTATTTCTTCCAAACGGTAGCTACTCTGACATTGCAAAACAGCATTTGTAAGATTCTAGTCTATCTTCTAAATTCTCTCCTACCAGAATTCAGATTTCCAAACTACTTTACAACAATATTCCCTAGTCATCAAAGAAAAATTCTTTTGTCAGTAAAGAACCAACTGCCATAATTAGGATGTTCATGTGTGTTACAAGTTAAAAAAAAATCTCACTAAAAGTCTGGGAAGTTTTCTTGAGTCAGTCTTGATTGTGGATATGACACATTCGTGCTGAATTGTCAAGAAACGAACGGGAATGTTACGTCAAAAGATAGAATTAGTAGGAAAAGCATTAAATGGGTACAAAAATACTTCAGGGTAATGAATTACTCTCTCTAAACATACTCAACAAGAAGATTTCATCCTTTTTTGAACCAAAACAACAGTATAACAAGATCTTTTATTTTGACTCCTAAAGCGGAACATTACTAGGGTCAGTAGACTATGTCTTTGCTACTCAATAATGGTCTTCTATTTCTTTCCCAAAGGAAAATCTATCATACACATGCATTTGAGCAAAATAAAATCTTTTTCAAATCCATCTCTCTGTTCCTAACTCAGTGACAATAGCTGCATTGACTCACTATTTATGTGCCGTCACAAGTCCTGCTTCTGACACTTGTTTTTTTCCCCCGCAGAGGAGTAATAATATACAGCTTCACTTCATCAGAATAAATCTCTACTTATAGCTCCTCTAACTGGAAAAAACAATTTTTGCTATTACAATTAATCAAACATTGCCTTTGATCAAACATTTCTACCTGTCTTACCCTGCTAGGTATTAAGGGTATTATTTCTGACTGTGCAAGAACAGAAGTGGCTTAAGCTCAGAGAGCAATACAGTAGCTTGTCACTGAACTTTTCCAGTGGTTCCAAAGCCTGTGTTTCTTATGTCCAGTAAGGGTTACACTATTTCTTTTTTCTATGGCTTCAGTCACCTTCTTGCAAGTAGAAGTCTGAGTCTTCTTCCCTTCCTCACATGCCACCTCACATCAGACTTTAAGGTGGCTAAAGGAAGAATGGGACACCACCACCCAAGTCTTCTGTAGGAATTTTATTATTGTTTCACATTTAAAAAAAAAAAAAAGAAAAAGCCCAAACAAACAACGACCCACTACATCCCAAAACCACCTAAACCCACATACCAACTACAGCACAAGTAACACTGAACAGCAGACACCAGTTTATTATTAGAGGCCAAAAATAAGTCAGACCAAGTCTTTTTATTAATAATAATAAAAAAATCTTAGTATAAAAATAGAATAGTTAATTCTGTACACTTATAGAAAGGACAAAGATTAAACAATACAATAACAGTAAAGTCAGATATGTAACAAGTCAATTTAAAGATTCCTGAAACCATTTCTCCAGAATTGTCTTCTATTATCATGTGCCATGCATTTGTTGTCTCCACCAAAACCGTAAGCTTCCTGAAGTAGTCACTTGATACACTTTGGGAGTCCCATGCAGAACCACAACCACCATTAACCTATAATGAAAAATGTTTGCTACGTCTGTGTTTGCTATTTCTAGTTCACCCAGTGATGGACAAAGGTCAGGTAGGTTTAGGGACAGTATATCAAAAGGTCACAGATAATTTACAGAAATTATATCATCCAGCCAAATACTTGATATTTTCTATGACCTCGGACGTGTTTCAGTCACAGCCAGCAGAATAAATAGCCGCATGTACTGCTTTGCAATGCCGACGACCAAAAATGAAGCTTTGTTACAGTATCTTTCAAGAGCATGAATCATAACAGAGAGAGACTTTGTTAATGACATTAACGTGATTACTTTTCGTTGAACGCTTTGCCAGCTCTAGCACACAGCAGCTAAGCTGACAGACAGTGAATATTAATAGGATTAGTCATCTGAGAGCCAGTAGCTCTTTAAGCTACAAAGCAAATTAATCTAAAAGTAAAACAGAGCTAGGACTACCATCTCTGATTACAGCAGCTCTTCAGCTTGAAAGATGTCAGCATCCATTGGAGTTACTGATTTCTTGTTTATCTTTTCTATTCTGTCCTCAAACACCAACATCCCTGGATATGAATGAAAGTTGTACCTGGACATTTGGGGTTAGGTTCTATGCACTTTGCTTGAATCAAAGAGACCAAACTTATTACTGTTTCTTCATCGAATTGGGCTTTCTAAAAGCAAAGCTATTAAGAAGCATTCTTGTAAACTTACTCCCCGATACTGGTACACAAATAATTGTTAGAAAACATGTGCCATAGAGTAGTCATACTCTTGGACTATACATCTGAATCTTGTTTACATCGGTGTGACTGCCTATAGACCGGATATCTTAAAGGTAGAATTTAAGAATATCACCTATTGCAGAGTCATTCAATACATGTGCTTCTCCTAAACCTACAATATCTTACTGTTACTGTCATTTTTCTCCATCTATCCAAGTCAGTCATCAGGCTATTTAACCCAGGTAACTTCCATTAGACAGACATCTCAAATTACAGCAACTCTGTAATGAACAATGTAGGCCATGGACATGTCTACTAAGCAAAATCATTGAAGCTATGACAAATATTTTGAAAATACACTTCTCCGCTCTCCTAAAGGTTTTGTTTTCTTCTCACAGCTGAACCCAGACATTAGGAAGATCCCAAGCCTCTTGGAAAAACAAGTCTGTATGTCGTAACTCAGTCAGAAAAGCCAGCATGCTGTTCTCTTCAACTGTTGGTACTGCAGAAATATATATGAAAGTGTTATGAGTAGAATTATCATTACATTTTCCTCAGATATTTATCTACATAAGTATTTTTGAAAGCATTCATATCAGCTTTTTAACAGTAAAATGGGTAAATAGGTGTGCAAGTGCTAGAGATCACTATAGATGTAGAACAGTAACAGTCACTAGCACATGTTTAATGTGAAGTAGCAATGAGTTAATTCATTAAAATGAAGACCTGGGAAGCTTTTGTAGCCATACACTTCCAGTATCTTTTATTTAAGTCATTAAAACAGCATTGTGCACACCCCCTCCCAGATTGTTCTAGGGGGTTACAGCTTGTTTAGTAACGCTTTTACCAAAAGGAAAATGGAATTAAAGTTATCCCCACCATTGCAGAACACAAGACTCACCTGCTTGCTGATAGTGTTTTCCTGCCAACACTTGGTGGAGATGGTTCACTATGGAAAAAGCTTTTTATCCACCAACATTTATCAATTAATTCCGGCAAACCTGCGAGAGGAGAAAAAGCCCACACCATTAGACGCTGGCTGAATGACAAACAGGCAAAACCAGAAGACTGCTTGAAAAAAAAGAAACAATACCATGAAGTGCTTTGTCCTGGTCTGTAGTGTTCCCAGCATCTGAACAGCAGGAGGAGCTGGAACAAACGCTGGATTCCGAGTTCTGTCTTGCTGTTAGCAGAAAACAGATACACATAATGAAAAAACTGCCTCAAGAGTACACTATTTCTATGCCAAGAATTTTCCAGACCTTGCTGCACCCTTGGAGGAAGGAATCTAAATGAGTTTACTTAGCTACAGAGTATAACTTCAGTATTTCATACACCATTTTATTACAGTTCTTTTTATATAAACTCTTACAGAAGTTGATCTCTCAGTCAACTTACTCTTCAGTTAAAAGCATGCCGAGATCTGTGTGCATAACTGACTGAAACCGGTGACAAATGCTCATGTACATCTCAAGACAAACGGGTCTATTCAAGTCCAAAACAACCATAATGGTACACTTTCCATTATGATACAACTACATACTGTACTCTCACTAGTGTCCGCCCTGTATGGGGGGATCCTAACACACCAGATATCAACTCACACCTTTGTTTCTGAATATGTGAAATAGTCATGGGTTTGAGGGAGTTTTTGTGTTTGGTCTAAGCATGCAAAATAAATACTAGGTATAGCAAGAAGTCAGGACTTGCCGGGCTAATACTTTTTTCTGTATCACATTTTTTTCTTTCTTTTTTAACATAAAAAAAAAAGTATATTACATAGCCCTAATGAATAATTATAAATAGAGGAGGAAAAAAAAAAAAAAACAAACGAGATAAATAACTAGAAGCAGATGTTCATTACAACTGAAGTTCCTTGGCATAATGAACAACTTCCACGCAATTAAAAACTACCAGGTCAAGAAACCCTTCTGCCTCCAGCTCGTCCAGACACCACCTGAAACACCTAACTTTTCCCGAGTGGCCACATCCCCTGGGGAGAGGCT